TGTTGTAGGATTTCTTCTTGTCTCCTCTCACTTATTTGTAACCACAAAAGCACACAGGCTTTCTAATCTTTATACAGACATTGCAACAACATGTTTAACATTAACCACTGTACTTCTGCACAAACCTGAGTGAAATGCATTTTAGCAACGACTGCAACAAATCACACACTGACAAATTTGATACCCTTAAAATATGTTCTTTGTTTGTTTCTCCCCTCATTCAAAGCCAGCAATTAAGTGACACTCTTATCTGATAATCCCTTTTAAAGGATTAAGAAAACATAAGCACTCCCATGACGTAGAGGGTATATGTCAATATGTCAAATTATTATCCCCAGAAAACTCAATGCGTATTGTGTTGTGTTACAGGACTGATATACACTATGTAGCCAACGGATTAGGTCACACCTCTTAATCTTTGAATTTAGGTATTTTCAGTCCCACTGCCACCGATGTATAAATTCAAGCACTAAGCAGTCTCCCTTTACAAAACATCTTCAAAAGTGTCAATCCTCCTAAAGAATTTGAGTGTGGTGCTGCAACAGGATGTTACTGTTACAAAAAGTCAGTTTTTTGAAATGCCTTCCTTCCTAAATGTTCCACGATCATTTGCAAGTGGCATGTAAAGTTACAGAGCAGGGAGAAAGTGCAGAGCTCCAAAGCTCCTCTAGCATTAACATCAGCACAAAAACTGCACTGGGAGCTTCGTGGCCTGAGTTTCAATGGCTGAGCAGTTCCTCTAGAATTAAGGTGTAGGAAGCCAAGTACTTTGGTCCATATTATGTATTAGTTGTGACAAATCGATCTGTTAAATGCATAATAAATCAAGCTAAAAATCACTGTGTGCAAATTAGTTTCCCACCCCATCACTTCTAACAATCTTTCACAACTTGAAGTAATTATGCCCTGAATATTTAGATAGTTTAGGTTTTTTACTGTATAATTTTCCTTATGATTTAAATTTCGATTTGCTTAATAGTGGCAACACCTTGATTGCATGTAATGAGCACAGGTTAAAGACGCATTGATATTTTATTCTGAATCTGATCAACTGTAAGCTTACTCAGACTGCTGAGCTGTCGAATTATAGCGGACAGCGTGTTGTTGGTTACACATTCCAGCTCGTTGCCAATTCCATCGGGCACGGCACTGTGGCACAGGTGCCGAGGCTCAATGTTCCTCTTCACCAGAGGCATGACCCCTTCTCACATCTCCCCAGCTGCTTGGAGTCAGAGGACAGAGCTGACAGCTCACTGCTTACTGCAACCTGTGGACTAGAACAATCAACATATTAATGCATAAAGTCGATGCAGTCACTAATGTTCTCAAATTAAGTTAATAATTTCACTTTAAATGTGTCTTTATTTTTAAAAAGCAACCCTGTAATGCATAATGCACAATGCATTAGTATGCTTGTTAGCTTTCCATGCTTTTACAATTTAAAAAGTGTGTGGGGAACATGTAATTGAGAGACAAATTAAAAATGACACCTTTGAGGGTTTTTTTTCCAATATTTGCTGCTTTGTACATTGGGCCACTTGCTGTTGAATGTCCCAGTTTATCACTACCTGTCAAAGTGGTACGCCTATTGTATGTAATTGTCCATTTTTGCAAAGAGGTCAACGTACTCGCTGCAACATCTGTTTTATTCAGGAACCTTATTGTGACAAAAGGGGAGCTAACACAGGCACTGTGCGACTGTTTTTTAAGCGAATTTGCATTCCTGTTTACACATCTATATCAGATGAAAACAAGGGATGGCCATGCCAGCACATTGTTAATATAGGTAACAACAAGAACATAAACTACCATATGTAATTTTAACAGCTGTTTTTGCAGCTCTGAAGCTCAAAGAAAATGTTAAATTATGGAGTGGATGCTCATTTAATGCTTGACTGACACTGAGGGAATGATTTTGGTGTAGCATCAGAGGTCCATTCTTCAATTCCCAAAAAACTACATGCTTATATTGTTGGTTAGAGCAAAGGGGCTGTCTGTTAGTTTCTTATTATCATGCATATTATCAATTAATTTGAGCTCAGCCTCATGTATTTATTTATGATCAATTAATAACCAATAGCTGAATGGACAAAGGACAAAAGGACTGCTTTGTAGCATGTTCATGTTAAAACTTTGTGACCTTGGAAAATACAACTTTTATTTGTCCTCCTTAGACTGCTTTAGCTTTAGCTGGACCAGGCTTCCTATTTAGACAGTTAACATTTAATAAAAGTTCACTGAAACAACAAACTGATCACTTAAAATACAAAACTGTTCAATTCTATGATAACATTGTATTTTAAAAAATGTTTTCAATCACAGAATCTGGGGGGGTGGGAGTATGACGTTTCAGTTTTTAAAATTATTTTATTAATTACTTGTACAGGAAAAAAAAGTTTTTTCTCATACTAATATAGAAAACACAACCTGTAACAACAGACCTACATTCACAGCAGCTGAAAACTTGGTCATGATTGTCCTACCATAGAATAGCTTAGCGTTGGCTTGCCGGTTGGCTCGTTTTGTTCACGTCAGCACGCAGGGAAGAAGCTGTCAAAGTCGAGTCCAAGCTGTTTCCTCCAAATTAAACAGACTATTTGCTGGCCTGCTGCAGTCTGTAGTGTACTTTACGTTGACAGTCATCTCTGCAGGGCGGAGTTCACTCTGAAAACAAATCTCCAGTCCAAATCACAGCTTGAGCCATGAGGGGATTTAGTCAGCAGATTACTCCTGTCATCCAATCACAGTCGCCATGGCATCCAGTATTTTATTTCAGGATGTATTAGTCCTATTTTTAAGGGCCACAAGTCAACCTTCTATGAATCGGATATTCGTGTGCCAACCTCAAGTTTTTGACATCACATCAAGACCGAATGAAAAGTTTAACTTTAGTGTGACACAGACACTGCTTATCACTTTTTGATAAGCAGTAAAAAATTTATTGACCGCTTTAGCAAAGTGATTAATTAGCAGAAAATTTTAATATATACAGTGGTTAAAATCTGCATAGTATTCTCAATTCTAAGGGTTAATTTTGTGCATTCTTTAACTTTTGCTCCTTATGTTTTTGTGTGTATGGGTGTCTGTTGTGTGTGTGTTATCACTTCACTTCAGATCAACTACTTGGCGTAAACAGGAGTGTGTCGGTCCCCTTTAGGCTATTAACATCACAGTAGGAATGACCTGGATTAAGAGTGAAATGAGACACTCAGAATTTTATTTGAAAGCTACACACACACACACACACACACACACACACACACACACAGACACACACACAGACACACACACACACACCAACACACACACCAACACACACACCAACACACTCACAGACATATACTGTTTTTTTCTCACAGATGGCATAATCTGGCCTGTGGGAGGGAGTACTGTAACCCACATATCAGGGCTTAAACCTTTTTAAGTAGCACACTGTGAAATTATGATTCAGTTATTACAGGAGCATACCCTATTCTGAGACATTGTCTAATCCAGCTGTCTCAATGCAGTTTGTACAAGTGATAGTTTAAAGTTAACTCCTTATTTTTGCTTTCTTTTTTTGTCCAGATTGAGCAAATTTTTTAAAATATAGAGGAAGAATTGAGATGCGCATAAATACACTTTAAAGGTGGTTCTTTGTCATCTAGCGATGTCTTTTCCAGTTGCTGTGGAATAACTGCCTCTCTGGGGCAATGAATTGCTTGCTTGCTGCAGTCCTCTGGAATCATGACCTAAAAGCAAACCCTTTGTCACTCATCATTCCCTGGTAACTATCAGACCAGAGCTCTGTCATCTGACCTGAAGCGCTTGCTGTCTAATACATGTGCACGGGGTAGCTCATTATTGAATCTGTAATTTTTCATGTATATTTTTTGTTAAAGTGTTTCATGATTTGCAGAAAACGTCACCAAGACACATAGAGTTTCATGTTCATTTTGTCTCTAGAGGGCACTGAAGCATTACTTTTTTCCAGCCTCCTGTAGAGTCTTTTACGGAAGAGTAGTCTGAGGGTAGCATTGCCACTCTTTACATGATAAATATTTCCTTTTAAAATAAAAGGTGCTGACAGCTTGTTCCTCAATATGGTATCCAGGCTCGTTCACTGTGACATATTCCAACACTTGCCCTGAATGCTTTTTTTATTTGAGTTTTGGGGCTAATAGAAGTTTGGGGGTTGCAGCTCTCCTTGGTGTTGGTCTAATTCTTTCTGGGTCTGCACTACAAAATAACGATTCTCATGTATTGCCTCATTGTCTCATGCTGTATACATTCTGATTACATTAATATAATGGTATACTTTTTTTTGCTGTATTTATTAGTCATAGCCACTCAAATGCACAGTAATATATGATTTTGAGCCACCCATCTCTTTCTTTTTTGGTTTTGATTCCAAGGAGTCAGACTTTTTTTAATTAAAAAAAGAAGCTCTTTAGCAATAGTTCCCCAGGTTTTCTGAAGGTCTTTCAAAGTTTTCTTCTTTTCTTTTTTTTGACACCAGTTGCATTTTTTTAACAGTCTTTGTATCTGACTAATTAAAGGGGATTTTGGTTTGTTTATTTCTTTCTCTCTTTATTTGTTATGCCACTTACCAGTGATCTATGAATCATTCAAGCATAACATGACACCCAGCTCAAGGGATGAACCAGACAACTTAACATTTTTATCTTTCTATCTTTCAGGCAATATTCAAAAACACAAGTGGTCATACCAAATATTGTCGTCCAAGCTTGTTAGACTCATACAAACTCAGTTTGAAAACCATTTATGTTACCCCATGTTTCAGTTGCTGTGGCTCAAGACTTTTGCACGTTACTGTAAATAATCTGAAGAATACATAAAATATGAGAAACTGTTATGAGCGTTTATTTATTTTTTAATCATCTTTTGCACATGGAACTAACATTTGCATCTAAACATCAGAAAATTTAAAACATTTCTTGCAGTTTTTTTTACACAGTTCCTCTAAACACTGTCCATTTCCTCAGTCTTAAACAATAGTCACAAAGAAGAAGAAAAACAAGGCAACAGCAACCAGGACAGTCGTCTGTTACTTTTAATCTTAAACATCTCAGTTTGAAGCTCCAGTGTTCCTATCCATATGATAAAGAGAAAGAGTATGTTCAGAGGGTGCAGTCATTGAGTTTTTATGTATTTGGTAATTTATTTGATTTCTGAATTCACCATGTTTTAAATTAAAGTATGCATAAAAAGTGTTATCAATAAGTTAGCATAAAGGCTAACTTCTACTACGGTGTCGATAAGCTAGCAGTTCTACTTACACAGAGGGTTAAGTAAGCTAAGCTAACGCTAGTTCCAGTTTAAGATTTTGGTGGAATTACAAAATGATAAGAATGACAACATCACCTTTCAGTAGGGCAGTCAGTGTTTTTCTTTTGTTATGAATTAGTGTGTTGTTATATGGTTGCTGTTTGTAGTCTGAAGAAACTGCGGCTAAACCTGACTTTAAACGTCTGTTTGTAAGAACAACAGCGAATCTAGCATCAAGCTAAGAGACGTCTTCGCCACTACAGCTAGGTAAGCACCTAAATCATATGTAAAAATTAATTGCTAGTTTTTCACAAAGTTTTGGTGATATTTGTAGTGTCATTTCATCGGATGAAATATGTACTTGTTTAGAAATCGGGACCTTATTTGTTAAAAAAAGTGTTGTGAAATTGTAAAATGTAAATATAGCACTTAACTCCAATGTTGTGAAAAAATATTTGCCCACTCTTTAATTTCTTTTCCTGTGTCATATGTGTCACACTTTAATGTTTCAGAACATCAAATAAATTTGAATACTGGGCAAAGATAATCCACATAAATATAAAATTCAGTTTTTACATGATGAATTAATTTATTTTGAAAAAAATACTATCCAAATCTGTGTTAAAAAAATAATTGCTGCCCAAACCTAATAACTGATTGTACCAGCTTTGGCAGCAAGAACTGCAGTCACATGTTAGGAATAACTGTCAACGAGTCTTTGACATCACTGTGTATGAATTTATGGTCCATGCTTCTTTACTGAATTGCTTTTATTCTCACATAATAAAGTGTTTTCAAGCTTAAGCAGCCCGTTTAAGGTCATGCCAGAGCATCTTGATCAGATTTGACTAGTACAATTGAAAATCTTAATTTGTACTTCATGAGCTTGAGCTTCAGGGCACAAACTGATGGCCATAAATTCTCCTTGAGTATTTTCTGGTTGAGAGCAGTATTCATGGTTCCATCAATTACTCGTCCAGGTCCTGAAGCGGCAAAGCAGCCCCAGACCATCACACTCAACCAGCACCATGTTTGGCTGTTGGTATGATGTTTTTGTTTTTATCCCAGGTGTAACAAGAATTAGACCTTCCAAAACCTTTTAATTTGTCTCATCAGTCAACAGAATATTTTCACAAAATTCTTGGGGAATGCTTTTTGGTAAATTTGAGACGAGCCTTTGAGTTCCTTTTGATCAGCAGCATTTCTTTAACGATGTGAAACATGCAAGTGTGAAAAATACACACACACATACACAAAAACTGTTTCAAAGCACTGTATTGAAAACTATTTTTAGGGTTTGTTTTGACTGTCTTCAGTGCAGGACAGACAAAGCATGTCCACAAATGAGGTGATAGGTCTGCTGTTGAAAGAGGAGGAGGAAAGGGAGAAGAGGAAAAACACATCTCTCCCTACTCAAGACCTCACAGGCATGGCAACGTCTGAGGTTAATCAAGGTGGGTGAAGAAAGAGCAGAATGCAGTGTTTTAAAGGTTATATTTGGTTTGAAGGATTGCTCTCTAGTGTTGACATGACTTATTCTCTTGCTTAGACATTTCTAGGAGAGACAGCAGTGAGAATTGGATCCTCATGTCAGAGAAGAATGCGCAGCTAAAGGTAATGTAATTAAAGGGTCTAAGGCATAGTTTTTGCAAAATCAGCAGTTGCATTAAACAAAAGAAAAGAAAACTTTAGAGGTCCATCATAAGCCCATCAAAATTAGATAGAGATACAGACACTATTATTTTCTCTTACATTAGTTCTTATAATTGTACAACTATGGTTGCATATTTCAAAAATCATTGAAACTAATTTCTGTTTGAGGGGTGGCTCAAAACTTTTGCACATTGTTCTACTTCTATTAAAATGTTTAGCTTGTTTTTCTAGACCCAAGAAGAATCCCTCAATTGTAAGGACTAATCCTGAGGTCGAGATTCTTTCAAAATTCATGTGAGCAAAAGTACAAATATCCTGCTCTTAAATGAAGCTATAGAGATTTTAATCCGACAAACTTTTAATTTGAATGAAAAGATGTTTGGGATTAGCTTTACTTAGGATTTTGCTACAGCCTGGAGAGACTGGAAGCGGGGGAAATAAAATCAAATTTTGTTTGTTAAAAAAGAAGGACGTATTGGCTCTTAAGCGTTATCTCTTCCTTGATTTATATTTCCTAAAATCTGGAACTATTTTTTCAATTGTATGCACATAAAGTCTATCATATTTCATTATTTCTTTAATAAATGTGTTTTCTGTTAGAAAACAGTCATCAAAGCTTTTCTGTCTTTTAATTATGACAAATTTACAGTATGTTAATCTTATGTTGTTAAATAATCCAGTTTGATGATAAGGTGATCAGTTCAAAGATTAAGATGACCGCAAAGGCCATGACTGCACAGAAGTATGTAGTACAAAGACTTGAAGATTTCAAGGCATTTGAAGATTGCTTTTTGAAAGAATTCCTCGCCTCTGTCGAGAAGAAAGTTATGGATGCCCAAAATCTGTAAGCATCAGAAAATTCCCCATATCAAAATGGGATATTTTGATATAAATATTGTTTTGAATAGGGGATGGGTTGATTTAAATATAAATTTTCTGTTGTAATAACTGTAAAACTGCTTTTTTAGCAGGTTGAAAAACTCAAGTAGCTCCATACAGGAAATGAATGATAAGATTGAGAAGGTCACCGATGAAACAGCAATATTAAAAAGGTATGGCTAACAATAGGAATATCATGCATGTCACTTAAATGCGGTACGCATCGGTTTAATGCATAGATCTGTAAAAGAAAGTGACAAATTTGGAATAAGTAGCATGCTAAAGCTTTCTTCTTTATAGTGAAGTTGCCAAGATTGAGAAGGTTCTGAATGAATATAAGAGGTACAGGAGAGTTCTGTTCAAGCTTTCTCCTCCCGAGTGGCAGGAAGCCCAGAAAGCAGCGACTTTAACAACCAAAGGCTTGCCAGACAGACCAGATGGTAGGAAAACAACATTAAATGGATACGGGTCAGACTGGTGTGGGTTTCTTAAATGGGAGACCAGCCTTTTATTAAAAAATAAACCGTGTCTGAGTTACTATTGAATGCATTATAACTGCTGGCATAGAAGCTCACATACATCTGATCTGTAAGTATGAACTTTAACACAGGCTTGGAGAAAGATCTGGATTCCACTCCAGATAGCGTGCTGCCTCCCACCAGTGAGTCTACACTGTCCTCAAACCACAGTGATGCCGTGTAAGAAAGCACACACACACACTATCACCAGTTGGTTCTTTTCTATCAATTCTCAGGTCATTTAATTTGATTAGTTAGTTTGATTAGTTTTAGTTTTGTTGGATAATTTAATCTGTGATGTTATCAGAGCAACAGGGAGCAATGCAACAACAGCAAAGAAGGTGGTAGGAGTTCCAGCAGAATAAAACTTTTTAAAACTATGATCTTAAAATCTATTTCATTTCAGGGTGAAGAATTCCCAGCTGAATGGAAACAACACAATCTATGAGGTCAGAGTTAGTGAGTCTAAAACCAAAGATCATTAAAGCAACAGCCATTTTCATCAGGAGGCTTTATTTACAGTGCTCACTTACCTTTCCCTGCAGGACAAGCTGGAACTATATAACTTCGATCCCCTGGAGGTAATCGTCCTGCTGTCAGAGCTGACTGACCAGAACCTGTCTCTGATTCACAACATCACCAGGATGGATAAGAAAATGGAGCACACTTTCGAGGTCACCATAAAGAAAATGTGAGAATCGCGGTTTTTCTAACAGTTCTTTCAAAGCCAGGTGTACACAGCATGAATTTTGGCTTTTGTGAAGAAGTCCTCACAGTATCTTGCAGATCTCTCGTGACAGCGGTTGGTTGCTTTTTGAACTTACAATTTATGTGACTGCTGCTATGTCTGCTAACCAAGCAAAAGGAAAGCACCAAGGATAGATAGATAGATAGATAGATAGATAGATAGATAGATAGATAGATAGATAGATAGATAGATAGATAGATAGATAGATAGATAGATAGATA